ATTTTTGTTTTTTTAAATATAGTTGTCCACATGTATTCCACTTCTGGTATCTCAAAAGCAGCAGCTTCAGTCAGCAGACAGATGCCTGGAATCTAGGGACGTGCAGAACAGGCTGTATTCCATTCGGATTCGGCCCGAATCAGGGACAGCAATTTGATTCAGTGATTCAGTTCACTGTCCTCAATTTGATTCAGCTGAATCCAAATCTGAAGATTCGATGCCGATTTGGATAATCATCGATTTAGACACAGACATAGCTTTAAATATTTTTTCTACATACCTGGAGGTACCAGGTATGGCTCATGAACGCTGCGATGGAGCGTCCCACAGGAATGTGGGACTGGAAGTATTTCTGGTCCACTTCCAGGTCTGCCACCGAGCGTGCAGGGCCACCTCTCCTCCCATGCCCCCTTGGCTTTGTGATCAGCCACAGGGGGACCCCGGGGGCCCCCCCAGACCCAGGAGGCACTAGTTACCAAGCTGAGGAAGCATGGGAGGGACCCCCAGCAGACCCAGAAGTGGACCAGAAGTGCTTCGGGTCTGCTGCCAAGCGCGCTGGGGTGTCCCCCCACCCATGTTCCTGTGGGATGCTCCATTTGCCCCACCTTTGCAGCATTCACGAGCTGCCTGCTACCTTGAGGTATGTAGAAAAAAACATTAGAAGCTGTGTCTATATCTGAATCGCCAAATCTTTCTAAATCTCTCTGATTCGATTCAGAGAGATTAAAGGGTCTCCTGATTTGATTCAGAGATTTGGCCACTGAATTGGGCTGAATCTCCGCCGAATTGAGTCAAGGACTGAAGCTTCGCACAGCCCTACTGGAATCCATTTAAACAATATAGAACTTTACCAAAGCAGGCATTGTACATGGACCCTCTAACTTGTAGTATATGGTAAAAGTGTACATTAAAACCAACGTTGTATATCTCAGAAGTGTGTGTGTGTGTGTGTGTGTGTGTGTGTGTGTGTGGGCACGCACGCGCACACACACACACACACACACACACACACACACCCACCCCCCCCTTCAAGGAGCTGCAACGACTGCCAGGACTCCTACCAATTAGGGGCCTTTCTATCAGGAGTGGATTGAAGGTAGCTCTGATAAACAACCTTCTAATGCAGCAGCTACCCATCTGGAAAACCCGAGAGAATAGTTGACCCTTCCTCCTGTCAGAGAAGCCAAAAATGGTACTAGGAGTGTTTCATTCCTATCCAGATAGCAGGAGAAGACCTTTGATTATAGTATGGCTTAGCACAGAAATCTGGAACATGGGTCAGATGAAAAAAATACTAATAATTTAAAGCAAAAAAGTAGTGACACCTTGCCATTATGGAATATAAATGAACCCACCCTGAGGACTCAGATCAGTCCTACTCCTCAAGCTAACATTATAGTCCCCTAAAACACTTTCATAAGTGATATAGAAAACAGGTTACTAGAGGTTCAAAGGGAGATCCACTAAGCCTGTTAACACAACACTGAGGTCCCAGGACAGTAGAGTTACTCTGACTGGAAGAAAGACCTGTATGAAGCTTTTGAGGAAATGAACAGCTGTTAGGCATAAGGCTGCACATGCTTGATCAGAGGATGAAGAATTGAATTGCTACTACAGCAAAAGCTGTTAACTGGCACATTATCAGCTGGAAAACTCTATTAACCAGCATCTGAGGGATACGGCAAAAGTAAAATCAGAAGTTACTACTTCCAGGTTTTGCTGCTGCCGTGAGCACAGTTCTTGACACTTCTTCAGACCACGGCCCAGGGCAAAGCAGCCTACATGGGGCAAAGCAGCCTGTGCAGGGCCCCCCTCCCTGTCCCCCACCATACTGACGCCAGGGAGTGCACCAGATGGTGCACATTTGATTAACCAGAATATTTGATTAATTGGCATCCCCCATGCCTGGGGGATGCCAGATAACAGAGCTTTTACTGTAAATGGTATCTTCTGATACTGATGGACATTTCAGAGTTTTGAATCAAAAAGCAATGTATTGCCTAAACAGAGAATCTCTTCCATTTTTACTGCACAAATCACTCTACCAGAGTCCTTTCCTGCTACAAGCTAAGACATTCTGGATTTCTATGGAACAGGATCTGTGGAAGTCAGCCATCCACAATCCACACTTGCCCAATGCTAGGATGCTAGATATAGGTGCAAGATCTGTTCCCTGTTGAGTTTTCAAGTTATGCTGAACTTGAAGCATGATCAAAATCTGCATTCACAGGTGCATCAGATCTGGAACAATGGTACCATGCGAGTCATACTGAGACTATCATCACTGACACTATCCCAGGAACCTTGGTATATGGGAGAAGCATAGATTAATCTTGGTGTCCAAGGGATGAGAAAGGCATCTTCACAAAGAATCTGTACTTAATTCTCTCTGGAGCAGATCTGGAACCTCTTGTTTGGGTCTGTGGCAAAACGAGCATATACTTGAGCACACTGCTTTTGAAAGATGTTTCACAGAACTAGAGTCTGACAGGCCATTCTTTTTCAAGTATTTTCTGGTGAGCTGCACTACTGGCTGTTTTAAAGGAAGATGCAAAGTGATGGGTATGATTTCATAGCGATTACACAGACTAACTACTTCCTGGAATAATGGCAATAGAAGTGTTTCTTCTTGCTGGCTAATTAGCCCATTGTTGACAGATGGGGAAACTTGAATCCCTGGTTCACCTGGGTAAGATACCATGATTGCTATGCACTTTGAGACTAACGTGAAGCACTCTGTTTTGACAACAGGATTCTCCTACCTGGAAAGTCTCCTGTGGACCAGTTGAATTAGTATGCCAAAATAAGTATCATGTGGGAAGGCAGCATTGAATCAATCTTCAAAATATAAAGTGAAGAGTATAAAAGACAGGTCATAAACCTGAATGCGAAGTGACAGATGAATTTATAGACATCAAAGGTCCAGAGTGGGACTCCAACCTCCTCTCTTACTTGGGATTAACACTACATTAGAAAAAAGCATGCTTTCCCTAGGAACACGTTGGGCATTTCATCCACTGCTCCAAACTGCAGAAGGAAGCCTACCTCTTTTCTTAGCAATGCCTCTTGAGAGAGGTTTCTGAAAAAGGACATGGAAGACAATAAGATAAGGACAGACCATAAATAAACGGACAAAAAAACCTTTTTGTGTTAAACTCTCCATGACTGGCTACAGTTCAAGGTTATCTGGTTCCAGGCCACCTGAAAACAAAACCAAAAGTTACTCTTTCAACTGTTCTGAAAGCTCTGGAAAGTCCTCCACTGATACCTGAAGAGAGCAATGGCAACTCCTGTTATTCAGTTACCAATACAAAACCCTGAGCTTGGTACCAAACCTCCTTGGTACCAAAACAGACAGCACTAGAGGATTCAAATGCATAAAGCAGTGGGTACTTCTTACGATGGAGTCAAGTGCTTCCATGCCAACATGCTGGCAATAGCAGAGGTATTAGGTGAGCTCCTCAGACATAACAGCTGACATTGACCAGCTAATGCTGAAGCATCAGGTGAACCCCAAGCTGTGACTTGAAGAAATTCCCGGCTGGGAAGCATAAACCGGAACAGATAAATGGTGGGACTTCTGCTATATTTTACCAGGCCCTTGAAAAAGAAGACCTCTCTATGATCATCTTGAGAATAGTGTTCTTTGCTCCTCCTTCCTCTGAAAGGTGGGGAAGATCTTAGCTGCTGTTTTAACTTAGCTGTCAAAAATGACTTTCCAGAAAAATGGTGAGGCCTGACACTCAGGGAAGACAAAGAGCTTACTAGAGCACTTGCAAGAGAATTATCTGATGAGGAAAGACATCTGCTAAAGTTCAGAGGTCATAATGGAGCATATATTTAAAGTAAATATTTAAAGTGGGATTTCTGTGGCTTTTGCTCCTTTTTAAGTGTAATATATATCGAGCACTTATCTGAAATGTGTGCTTTGCAGAGGCAAATGAGTCTATTTGAGAACTCCATTACTAATAACAAGAAAAGAAGTTAAAGTAAAAAGACTTGGATTCCACCATCACATACAAGCTCTGGGGCTAGGAACAATTTGCCTCAACTTTTCTCTCTCTCTGGAACCCCACTCTTTTACTTGCGAACAGACATAAAAGCTACATTATCCTAAATAAATACACTAGCAACTACAGTTGGAAATTGTAGAGAAAGAGACAATTGGGGTGCATCGCCATGAGTGGGAACATGCATTTCCCTGGGGACAAATAGAAGCAGCATATATTTGTGCTGCTGCTAGTTGTCCCTGGGCACACTCCTGCATGTATACTCTGGTGTGTAGCAGATTGCCTCAGGTGGGGTAGGGGAGGCTGGGGCCAGCACCTGGGCTAGCCCCAGCAGCCTTATCTGGGATCCTGGTGCCCTCCCGGGCCTGCAGTGGCAATCCAGGCACACGGAGCCTAGCCAGCAGCCTGAGCACAGCTCTGGCCAGCTAGGCTCCAGTTTCAGGCAGTGCACTCTGCAGTCATATACGCTACTCTGCTTTTTTCTGCTGTGGTTTGACATCAGGATCTCCCAGTGTCAAAAAACAAGTGGCATGTGCAGTTTGTAGTGCTGCAAACCACATGTGCATACTCATGGGGATGTGCCCTTCAGGTTCTGTTTTGGTGTCATGGGAATGGTGAGGGAAGGAAGACTTGGTCCCAATGGACACTGCAATTTAAAAGAATCCAACATTGCATGCACATAAGAAAACATGCGAACAACCACTCAGAAGGATTTTACAAATACAGTTGATGTTTCTTATACTGTATGTCTAAAATCCACCAAATTAGCAGTAAAACAATGCTGCTGCATAAAATGATACCTTCTCTCCTGGATGGATTAGATGGCTTACAGTGCAAACAAAGCCACAGTACACAGAGGCCTAGTTAACCTTTATACACACACAGGCAGTGCAGTTACAAAGGGAAATATGTTCCTTTTATTCCAGTACCTTTGTATAATAAAGTTAACAAAAATACTCAAATATTAAAAAAAAAAAAAAAAAAAAAAAAACAAGCTGGCACTGCCAACTAATTCCTGTAGTAGTTTTAGAAATCCTAATCCTGTAGAATTTCTTTGTGAAGTCAATGCGCACCAGAGTCAGTGTATTGATATCTACGCCAAGCAGGTCTGGTGATGCAGCTACCTGAGTTTTTGTGGGTTGGTTTGTTTTATTTCACAACTTTCCAGCTTTCATGTAGGAAGGGATAGAGCCACGCTGCGTCAGCCCTTCAAACCTCTTGTATGTATAATTGAGGAAAACCCAGTCTTTGGATTTGTAGTCAGATTCTGTGGTGTTTGGCACTGGAACAGAGAGAACAAGAAAAAAAATCATGCATCTAAAAATACTGATATTATTTGTGAGATTTTTTTACATCCAATCCTGCATTTTATTTTTCCCTAGCACCATACAACTGTGGGCAAAATTCTGATCTACTAAATTAAGCTGGAGTCTTATCACTGACTTTAACGACGGCACAGTTTCATCAGACATTTTGAGACAGCAACAGGTCTGTGTGTGTGTGTGGATATAGTGGACAGCACAATAGAATACTGATTCTAGATTGGGACGTCAGGTGCTACCAAAGTACAAAAGAAATGCAAAGTAAGGTTGATGAGAGCTGAGAGTTTCAATTTTTTTTTTAATAGAAAGCTAGATAGGGGGTTGCCAGCAGTCTCTAAATTTATGAACAGCCTGTAAAAAAAACTAAGGATGAAATGTCCATCTGTTTAAAAATCAATCAACCAATCAATCAGCTGCTGGAAAAAAAAAAATCTCTGGGCTTGATTGAGGCTGGATGAAAGTGTTGCTAGAAATGATATGATGCACAAAGAACAAAAAAAGCACCACTTTATGTACGAGCAGGAACACAGCCTCCATAGCTCCCTCCCTTCCTACCAGCCCAGCCATGGGCTGCCGCTGCAACCCAACCATCACCTGCCTGTAATGGCTGCTCGCCTTGTAGGTTGACAGGCCACACAGTCCCAGGCAGTCTGAGGAACCAGGCATGACAGGAAGAGGGAGTAGGGGTGGTAGGGTGGGCAGCATAATGCAGAATATGGCTGGGGTATCAAGATGTGAGAGTGAGTAGGGGAATTCTGGATTGGGAATAGCACAGTGTAAAACCATTGCTGCAGTCAAGTAAGATTTTATTCTGTGTGGGGGCTTGAGCAAGATTTAGAAAGTAGGCGTTAAACTCCTAAATTTGAACCAAGCCCGTATTATTGTTGTCCAGGGGCTGGCAGACAGGTTATATAGTAACAGCCATGTTATCTGGCACCTTACAAGCTGGCATGCTCTATTAACCGGAATGCTCGCTTGTAAGGTAAAAGCAAAAGTGGAAGTGCCCACCGTGGCACTTCCAGTTTCGCAGAGCCCCCACGGCCCAGGGCATAGCAGGCTGTATGGGAACTGCCTCCCTGTCCCTTGGGGCCTGTGGGAGGGCCAGCAATGCGGCGGGAGAGGTGGTGACATGGCAGGAGAAGTGGCAGCCTAAAAGGCAAAGATGCCTATCCGGGCCTCTCAATTAACCAGCATATTTTGTTATCCAGCACCCCCCGTTCACCATGGGTGCTGGATAACAAAACTTTTGCTGTATTTACATTATATAAAATATATGTCAGTAAAAATGTCAGTTAAAAAAAATAAATAAATAAATAAATAAATCTTGGTTGGCAACCCTGCTAGGTATTTTATTTAGGTTGACTAAGTAAGTATTTAGGTGCCCAACATTAAGCACTCAGGTTTTAAAATATTTTTGTCTTAAGAAGAAGAAACTATTTTGCTATACACTAGGAAAAATTTCAGAATTACAGGAGGAAGGGGATTTGCCGGACCCTGCTTACACAAATAGTCTTGGGGAAACTGAGGGAACTTGGCCTCTTGTAGAATCAGCTATTCTACAGATGAAAATTTCCTGCTATACACCATTGCAGGAATGTTTTATTTAAAAAGCAAGCGACTTTCAGAAAGACTAGTGCTACTAAGTCACTCTAGCTTATAGTCTATACTGCTTCTGTTCAGGATCACTTAGGCCTTTTTGAAAATTCTGTCCACAAGAGTGCACCATATTTTACAACAGTGAAATTTAAACCAGAAGCAAATGTCCACAACTAATTCGTGTAATGTATTTTACCAGGAGTTTGCCAACAGGCACTATATGGGGAAATCCTATTATACTTTCTATGCTTATTTATTTTCACCAAAGCAACACACACACACAGCTTTTCATTATGTTAACTTAAATGCTAAAAACTGCCTTTCCATAACACTTTGGGAAGTGCAGTAAGTTTAGGATAGTTCCTAGTTAAATAAAAAGTTTCCTTTTTATTTAAAAGTTTCCATTTTAATTTAAACGCAAATCATTAACACAGTTTCCTGACCTGTACAATACTTCCATGAAAGGACCAGAAGTTTGGCATGTGTTGCAAAGTCTGTCTCACCTGGCTGTAAAATATCAGATTCAGGAAATTCATCAAAGTTGGAAGTGTCATCAATGCTTCTAATTTCTATAGGAATTGCAGCTGGTCTTT